ATTTTTAGTAGAGACGGGGTTTCACCATGTTGACCAGGATGGTCTCGATCTCTTGACCTCATGATCCACCCGCCTCGGCCTCCCACAGTGCTGGGATTACAGGCTTGAGCCACCTCGCCCGGCCTTGAATTTTTTTTTAAATTTCTTGAGACACGGTCTTGCTATGTTGCCCAGGCTGGAATGCAGTGGCACAATCATGGCTCACTGCGGCATGGACCTCCCAGGCTCAAGCAATTTATTTTATTTTATTTTATTTTTTGGATAGACAGGGTCTCCCTATGTTGCCCAGGCAGGTCTCAAACTCCTAGGCTCAAGCTGTCCTCTCACTTTGGCCCCCCAAAGTGCTGGGATTACAGGCGTGAGCCACCGTGCCTGGCCTCAGCTCATAGCTTCTTAGTAGCTGCTCTCTGCCAGGCCTTGTGACATCTTGCTTTGCACATGGCAGCTTAAGTTGGCCAAAGACTCAAGGAGGTCTCTGTGTAGATTTCTAGAGCCGCTCTGCTGCGGTGCTCCCTCCCTCTTGTGGGCTGCCCTGCAGACCCGCCTGCACTTGCGCTCCTGCATGTCCCATCTCTGCCTCCTCTCCTCAGCTCAGCAAGCTTCTGTGTGTTGCTCTGGCCCTGCCTCCCTGCACTCTGGCTGGGCAGAAAATGGGGGTGACTATGGGGCCCACCGAATGTGGTCCCATGTCTTAGGACTCCCGTCTCAAGCTGCCCTGCTTGCCCAACATCTGAAATAACTGCCTCCTCTTGCCCAGTTTCATCACTGCATATGGAGGGAGGCTCTTCAGACTGATGCTCTCAGGGTGGAAGTGGCCGCCCGCCTCGTGTTTCCCTTTGGAAGTCAGCGGTCAGTTCTGTTGTGGCTCTTTTCAAAAAGACCATGTCCTTTTTCTTCTGGCTGGTTTTGGGACTTTTCTCTTTGTTTTTCAGCAGTTTTTCTGTCCCATTTTGGGGTGTGTTTTTAACTTACCATGTTGTAGTTTGTAGTGCTTCTTGATTATGTTGTTTGATGCCTCTGGCTAGTCTGGGAAATTTTTCACTGTTCCCTGTGACTGTTCATTTTGTCTCTTCCTTCCCTCCCTCTTGCCACCTCCTCCTGTGGCGCGGGTACACAGGAGGCCCTTTCATTGTCTCTTTGCCGTATTTCCATCCTTTTGTCTCTTCGTGCTCTAGTCTGGATATTTCCGTTTGAATAAAATTTTCACTAATTCTCCCCCCAGGAGCTGCAGAGGCTGGAGACAGAGTTGGGCCGACCCACTGAGCGCTGGAAGGACACCTGGGACCGGGTGAAGGCTGCGCAGCGCCTCGAAGGCCGGCCAGACGGACGTGTGAGTGAGGGCGAGTGTGGGTGGCCAGGGTGGGCATGTTGCTGGAGAAATTGGAGTCTGCCCAGCCCTGATGCAAGTCCCACCCTCCTGTTTGCAGGGCACCCCTAGCTCCCTCCTAGTGTCCACGGCACCCCACCACCGCCGCTCGCTGGGTGTGTACCTGCAGGAGGGACCCGTGGGCTCCACCCTGAGCCTCAGCCTGGACAGCGACCAGAGTAGTGGCTCAACCGCATCTGGCTCCCGCCAGGCTGCCCGCCGCAGCACCAGCACCCTGTACAGCCAGTTCCAGACGGCTGAGAGTGAGAACAGGTATGAGGGTACCTCCCACTGCCACACAGGCACCCTGAGCTGGTGTTCCGGGAGATTGCAGGTGCTTTTGAGGAGCCGAGACAGTTTTGTTCTTGTTGCCCAGGCTGGAGTGCAGGGGTGCGATCTCGGCTCACTGCAGCCTCTGCCTCCTGGGTTTAAGTGATGCTCCTGCCTCAGCCTCCCGAGTAGCTGCGATTACAGGTGCCTGTCACCACCTGGGGTTTCACCTTGTTGGCCAGGCTGGTCTCAAACTCCTGATCTCCTAATCTGCCCACCTTGGCCTCCCAAAGAGCTGGGATTACAGGCGTGAGCCACCATGCCTGGCCGCTTTGTCATTTCTTAGGGTGGAAGGATTTGTTGGGAAGGCCACAGTGGTGGCCTAAGTATACGCCACCATTGGGAGGGGTTTGGGGTGTGGGACTGGTGGCCACAGCCGGCCACAGCCTGCAGTGGCTGAGAGGAGCAGAGAGAGGGGGTGGTTGTGTGGCACCCATGAGTCTGGAGCCTGGCTGGATCCATCCGCTGGAGAGCTGCTGCTGTGGCTGCTTCCGCAGACCTGCCTGCCGGGCACCCCTCTCCTCGTGAGGGCGCCTGCCCTGCTTGGGGGGTGCTGAGGCTGTTTTCCCAAGACCCTGAGGCTGTGGTGTGGGGACGCTCCCTGGAGTCTGGAGGGGTATGAGGCACCCTTTACCATCTGCTTTCTGGGCATAGTGTTTCTGGGTTTGCAGCCCCAAGGCTTCTTTGTGGCCCCCTGGCCAGTGTTCCGGCCTTAGTTCAGTTCGAGGGACGGGGACTCTGGTCTTACCTCCTGGGCTGGGACAGCAGGTAGGGACAACTGCTGGGGCCTGGGCCTGGCTGGGCTGTGACAGCCAGCCTTGCTCTGGTTCTGCTGCAAATGCAGGTCCTATGAGGGCACCCTGTACAAGAAGGGGGCCTTCATGAAGCCCTGGAAGGCCCGCTGGTTCGTGTTGGACAAAACCAAGCACCAGGTGAGTGATCAGGTGGTCGGGGGGGACCCACGGGGGAAGGGTCTACCCTGACTCTGTGGCCTCCTCCAGCTGCGCTATTATGACCACCGAGTGGACACAGACTGCAAGGGTATCATCGACCTGGCGGAGGTGGAGGCTGTGGCACCTGGCACGCCCACCATGGGCGCCCCTAAGACCGTGGATGAGAAGGCCTTCTTTGACGTGAGCCTTGGCTCTTCCCTTGGGAGAGGGAAGGGAGGCGCTCTGTGGTGTGGGGCTGTGGAGTCAGTAACCCACCCTTCTCCAGGTGAAGACCACGCGTCGCGTTTACAACTTCTGTGCCCAGGATGTGCCCTCAGCCCAGCAGTGGGTGGACCGGATCCAGAGCTGCCTGTCAGACGCCTGAGCCTCCCAGCCCTGCCCGGCTGCTTCCAGTCGTTACAGACCACTAGGGGTGGGCAGGGCCGCCCCGGCCATGTTTACAGCCCCGGCCCTCGACAGTATTGAGGCCCCGAGCCCCCAGCACTTGTGTGTACAGCCCCTGTCCCTGCCCTGCCCCGCCCCACCTGGCCGGCCCTAACTTATTTTGGCATCACAGCTGAGCACCGTGCCGGGAGGTGGCCAAGGTACAGCCCGCAATGGGCCTGTAAATAATCCAGCCCCGTCAGCGTGTGCTGGCCCAGCCAGCCGGCTGCAGGCGAGTTGTTTCTAGAACCAGAGTCTATATAAAGAGAGAACTAACGCCACGCTCACGTGTCTGCCTCACCCATGCCCTGGCTGCCTGTTTTCGGCCTGTCCAGAGGGTCCCATCTGCCCCTACCCAGGCCCACAAGTGGAAGGGTTGGCATCTTTCTTCTGAGCCTTTCCTGGTGCCTGGGTCCTCCCAGCTCGGCCTGCATGGCCCTGGGTGTGGCTTTGCTCTAGAAGCAGGTAGGGCAGGAAGCTTCCTTGGGGCCTTGATTCCTCCCAGGCCTCAAGGATGGTCTGGGGACCAGCACAGCTGGAGAGGAAGCCTCCATCCCTACCCAGGGGGTGCAGAAGCAGGCATCACAAGAGGCTTGGGGGGGTCTAAGCGTTGGGTGGTCATTTGCCCCCAGGAGGCTGTTCCAGGTCCAGAGGACACTTGAAGTGGACAGCAGCGTCTGGTTAGACCAGAGCTGAAGGGATGGAGGCCAGACCCAGGATGGGGGACGGTGGGTTCCCAGGGGAATGAGGGTCAGCCGCATCTGGCTCCCACCAGGCAGCAAGCAGCACCTGGCAGAGTGAAGCGGCTGATGCCTACAGGGAACAGACCCTCTCCGTTTTTGGGAATTCGGCCCCAAAGGCCTGTCCCTTTCCCTAGAGCATCTGTTGATGCTCTTTTCCTATTCAAACCTGAGTCCACCAGGCCCAGAGCTTTGCCTGTTGAGCCACCGTGATGGGGTCTAGCCAGGGGTGTGGATGTTGTTACAGATACCAAGAGAACAGCCAAGAGTGGTGGGGGACCCCTCTAAGGTGGGAGGTGAGCAGCAGGCATGGGTGGGGGGGTCAAGGTTATGGTGATGGCAGCAGAGGCAGGGCCCAGTGGTGGCAGGTGGGGGCCAAGACCCTGCCCTGGTGGGATGTTGAAGCCAAGGATGGCCTTGGACCCTGTCAGGTCCAGCGTGGTCCCACCACCTCCCCCCACCCCACAGCCAGTGCTGGGACAGCTTGGGGAGACGTCGGGGTGGACTCACTTGAGCCATTGACACCACCCAGGTCTTCCCCCCGGCAGGACAGATGGAGCCTGACCAAGGTTCCTGGCACCTGGAAAACGCACAGGTCAGAGTAAGGGGAGAGGATCCTGCCCTCCCTGTTCCGTTTGCTGGGGAGAGGATGCGGCAGAGCTGGGGGAGGACCAGGAGGGACAAATACCAGGCACAGGCCAGGGGTGGAGACCCGGCTTCTGGAGAGCTGAGCTGGTTCCCTCCAGCTTCAAGTGAAGCATCCCCCCCTCACCCAAAAAGGAAAAAGCTCAGTGTTTGTTTGCTCAGGTATAGAGACCAGCCGCTGTGATGTGGTCTGTTCCACCTCCACCCATGAATGGGCATGGCCCTGGCAAAAGAAATGCTGGAGGAGACACTCCCACCCCTGGCCGGAAGCTTCACAATACGCAGTTTGTCCGAATGACACGGCTTTTATTGGGAGTTGGGGATTTTGGGTGCCCTGTCAGGTGATCAGAACATTAAAAATTGACTCAACGTAAAATAATCTGGACCCTTCTAGAACGACATGGCCATGACCAGTACTGCTAGAAACCAGTCTGCGAGCCCCCAGTGCCTCGCCGTGTCCCCGACCTGCATACCTGGGGTCTCCCCTGCCAGGCCTAGAGGGCCTTGTGTTTTTATTAAGGCAGTCAAATCTTGCAGCCTGCTTCAACGCCAGCTGCAAGGGCTACTGGGCAGCTGCAAGGGTCTGAGACCTTGAATGCGCTCCTGCAAGTCAGGTGTCCCCAACCCAGGCCCTTGACTCTGCCCTGAGCTTGCAGCTGGATACAAAAGTGCAAAACAGCTTGGCTCCTGTATTCTTAAAATAAAAAAAAAGTAAAAACAGCCTCCACGTCCAAGCCCTTCCTGGGCCATCAGGTCCTGGTGCCATCTCAGGGTCCTGCCCCCACCCCCCACCCCAGCTCCTGCGGCTCCTGCAGGCAGAGGTCGCGTGCCTGAGACCTTATTGCTGTGCTCCGGGCCGGGGGCAGCTGAGGTGCACCCTCTGTCCTCCAGCAGGGCCCACTCGGTCAGGCAGGAGACGCAAGCTGGGCCGTCCAACTGGTTTCAACTGGCAGCTTTACCAATGCAGCATTTATTTCAAAATTAAATTAAATTAAAAAAAAATTGCATCACCAGGTAGTTTTCTCGATTAGGATGCAGCCTGACCAGGGCGGGCCGTGGCCGGGCGGCAGCAGCATCACATGGGGCCATTTAAGGCAGCTCCTTCTGGCGGGGCGTCTGTCTTCCTGCAGGAATGGGGGGCGGTTGGAGCTGTGCGGGCTTCGGGGCCTGTCCACATCCCCCACCCCCACACACAGCCTGCTCACCTGTCCTTTGTCACTGTTCCCAGGGTGGCCACCATGGCTGGGGCTGTTGTGACTGCCATGATGGGCCCTAGGGGGGCTGCCACGGCCACTGCAGAAGAGACTGCTGGGGTGGCTATGGGGGGGCCAGCCTTGCTCAGTGCTGTGGTGGTGGCCACGGTAGCCTCTGGGTGTGCAGCCACAGCTGGGTCAGCGGTCACTTCCTTTGGCACGGGGCAGGCAGGGTCTAACAGCTTGCTGTCAGCACACTCGGCCCTGTGTGGCAGACATGGGTTCTGGTTATGTGCATCCCCACCCTCAATGCCACCCCACCTCGTGCCCAAGGACCAGCAGGACAAAAAGGTCCAGGTGGCCCCAGAGCCCCGCCTGTGGTCCCTCTCCTGCCTTCTGTGGGGTGGCCCAGGTTGTGCCCAGCTAGGCAGCTCTGCCACCCCAAGTTCCAAGTGCTGGGACAAGCTGCCTGTCCACCAGTGACCTCAAACCTCCTTCCAGGCAGCGCTCAGATCCTGCCCGTCGTCAAGCGCCTCAATTCTCCGAGGGCCCCAGAGGCTCCTGCCAGGCATCTAAGGGGCCTGCTCTGGAGGGGATCAGGCACCCTAAGGCCCAGCCTGGCTACGAGCAGCAGATGGGCCGTGTGGCCTCCTGCAAGGCGAGGACACTGAGCATCGGACCCAGGGAGGGTTGGGGGTGTGAGCACGCTCACCTGCAGGCTGGGCCGCCACGAAGGTGCAGGGAGAAAGTGGCAAGTTTTACAGACAGCCCGGTGGAAAAATAAGCAACTTATTTTGCACAATGATGTTCTCTGCTTTTCAAAGTTTTTCAGGGTTTGTTTAGGAAAAGTGGGTAAGGGTTTGTTTTACGAGACGGAGTCTCGCTCTGTTGCCCCGGCCAGAGTGCAGTGGCGTGATCTCTGCTCACTGCAGCCTCTGCCTCCCAGGTTCAGATAATTCTCCGGCCTCACCCTGCCAAGTAGCTGGGACTACAGGCGTGTCATCACACGCCAATTTTTTGTATTTCAGTAGAGATGGGGTTTTGCCATGTTGCCCAGGAGCTCAGGCAATCCACCCACCTCAGCCTCCCAAAGTGCTAGGATTACAGGTGTAAGCCACTGCACCCAGCTGAGTAAAGGTGTTTTTTTCATTGTTGCTGAGACGAAGTCTCACTCTGATGCCCAGGCGGGAGGGAGCACAGTGGTGCGATCTCAGCTCACTGCAACCTCTGCCTCCCGGGTTCAAGCGATTCCCCTGCCTCAGCCTCCTGAGTAGTTGGGATTTCAGGCGTGTGCCATCACACCTGGCTAATTTTTGTGTTTTTAGTAGAGATGGGGTTTCACCATACTAACCAGGCTGATCCTGAACTCCTGACCTCGTGATCCACCCACCTAGGCCTCCCAAAGTGCTGGGATTACAGGTGTGAGCCACTGCGCCTAGCCAGGTAAGGGTTTTTAAGAATTTCAGTGACTAAACTTTAATAAGGCATTCCTTCTTATTCTTAAAAATTCCCAGGACTGCCAGGGGTCAGCGAGCAGGGCCCGCTCAAGTGTCAGATCTGCCCCACCTGTGGGGGGAGGATAGGACAGGTGGGGTGAATGCAGGCTGAGCAGCGTGGGCGGTGAGGCTGGGAGGTGCCCTCACCCACCTCCAGGTGGGCCCTTCCCAACCATGGAGCCAGGAGTGACTGGGAAGCACTGCCAGGTGTGAAAGGCACCCTGTCCGCTCCTAGAGTTCTTCCCCACTGTTGCCTGGACCTAGTGGGAGCTCAGGCCCCAGGGCCTTTGCAGAGCTGCTCCCTTGCTGGGTGCACCTCCTCCCCACTTCAAGCCCAGTCCTACCTTCCCCTCCTCATGCTTACCTGGCCCTGGCATCTACCCCAGCTGTCCTGCCCTCCTGCTAAACTCCCACCCCTGACCCCAACGGCCAGAAGAGTTATCTGTTCACTGACAGATTCCAGGGACCTTCTTCCTGTGGGGGGGATGCATGGGGTTCAGCTTGCTGGAGGGGCTGGCTGGACTCCAGCCTCCTTACCGGGAGTACCTCCCTTTCCACTCCCCAGGAATGGCTGCTGGGGGCTCAAGGGAGTCTGGGCCTCTGCCCACCTGCAAGCTGCCTCCAGCTCTCAGTCAGGGTTTGGAGGCCCAAGTGCAGTCCTGAGGCCCCCACACCCCATACTGTCCTGCTTCCGAGGCATCTGGGAATCAGAGGCCACCATTAAAGGGGAGCTGCAGGTGTGAGGCCCGCCTGCTGGAGTTAAGTCTGTGCCCCCCCCCCCGAGCACCAGGACTCCCAGATCCCAGGCGGCTCAGCCAGGCCCAGAGCCCCGAGAGCTGGGCTGTTCTCACCAATCAGGATCTGGAGTAGGGGCTGCTCCCTGAAGTCCCTGAGGGGGCTGTCTGGGACACTGAGGCCATGTCTTCTTGTCCTAACCACTCACAACAGAGAAGACAGATGTCCTGTCCAAGAAAGAAGCCCCCACACTCCTCCACTTCAGTGCATGGGCATCACTGCCCCAAGCCAGCCTCTGAAGGGTCACAGGCCATTGGGAAAGCAGTGGAGAAGACCCCTGGCCTGGCCTCAGCCTGCTCCCAGGGGAGGTGAGAACTGGGGACAGAGCCTGGAAGCCACACCCTATGTACCCCCCGACACCCCACACACCTGCTGACAGCCTCCTCTGTCCTGGTCACTGCAGGCAGTGCTGGGGCCTCCCAGCCGGGACCCCTGCTCACAGCCTCCACGGCAGTTGCTGCCTTCTGGTCCTCATCCCCGCTGTCAGAGCCGCCAGAGGAGCTACTGTCAGAGGCCAGCAGGGGGGCCTTCCTGGTGGCACACACATTCCAGGCACATGGGGAAGCCGGGCTGGCTGCAAAGCAGGAGGCCTGTGCTGTCCAGTGAGGCAGGAGAAGCCACAGCGTGCGGCCACGCCGGCCACAGCGCCCCCACCTGAGTGGCCCGTGTGTAGCACAGACAGCCTCTCACATGCAGCCCGTTGCCTGCACACATGTGCCTGTGTGGGAACCGCCAGACAAGGCAGACAGGCTCTCACTGGCTACGCGATCTCCACACAAGCAACCCTGTTTCTCCCCCATGACACAGGGCCATGTGCCCTGGTCTCACACGAGGACGCAGAAGCTCAGGAAGGGGCCCGCTCTGCCTTGTGTGGTCCTGCCACAGCTCCTTCAAGCCGTAGGACCCCAGCGCCTGTGACACCAGTGTTGGGAGCCAGCTGTCATCACCGGGAGTGCTCAGCCTTGTCTGGGGGAGCTTCTGAGACTGACTAGGGGGCTGAGGGCCAGGGGCTCTAATCAGGCCCCAAAACGGCTTCCTGCCAACATCCCACCCACACACGTCTCAATGCTGGGGTCCCAGTGCTGCTGTCTGGAACCCAGGGTGCAGACCTTGGCTGTGCCACCTGCTCAGACGGGGCTCGGGGCCAGCCCCATGGCCTTGCTGCCTCCCAATCTGCATGTGGCTGCTCCAGTCCCACTGCCGTAACAAACTCCAACATCACCAGAGACCTAGCAGCACGTGGGCCTGGGCCACCTGCTCCCACTGCCCCCAAGGAGTGGGGCCAGCGGCCTCAGGACTTAAACTAGGCAAGGCCAGTCGTCTGCAGGAGCCTGGGTGCGGCCTGCACTGCTCCTACTCACAGGCTTTCTCGGGGCCTTGGCTGTGGCTGCCCTCGGCATGGCTGCATTCTGTGTCCACCGGAGAGCTGCACCTGGGTCCTGACTCAGCGCTGCAGACAACGACGAGGACAGAATCAGTCCTGGGGACAGGCACCTCCTGACCCAGACAGGCACCTCCTGGCACAGCCCCCTCCTGCCAATGCATCCATTACCAGCAGAAAGGTTGGAAATCGGTGAACTTGGCCCAGCCTTTCTCCTCTGGAGCTGAGGTGCCAGCTGCCCACACACTGGAACCCACATCCCTCACCACTCCTGGGGCCATGGGCGTCAAGTTCGCTGGCTCATCAAACACTGCCGTCCACGTGGCGCCTGCTGGGGGACAGAGACAGTGGTCAGGTGTGGGCAGGCCTGGGGTGCTGCAGGTAAAGGAGAGGTAGCTCCCCCCACCCCCAGGGCCCCACAGAGCTTGACAGGAACGTGGGGCTGCTCCAGGAGGGAGGCCTGGCCAGTACCTATCAGCCCCTCAGAGAGCGACACAGGATAGCTCAAGGGTCCCGACAAGCCACTGACACCCATGAGGCATGTGACCGGGGGCTCAGTCAGGCGCCTGAAGGCCCCAGGCCTCCAGCAGGGCCGACACTGACAGTGTGGCGGTGGTACGACTACCCTCCACGCTCTGTCCAGTGGGTCTGGCCAGGATGGCATCCGACAGGCTGCAGCTCACTCAGCACCACTGCCCCCTCCCTGGCCTCGAGGATGGAGTGCCTTCCTCCTATCCAGGACGTTCCTGCTTCCCCACGGTGTCGCCCTCGCTCTCTCTGTTGCCCTCAGCTAAGAGTCGGCACCTCCTAATAGAGATCCTTGCCCCTCCCCAAAGTCCTGAGTGCCTCAGCACTGCCCTCAGGGCAGGGGAAGGACAGGGGTCTTATCAGCAGTGCGGCCTGAGTGGACTGGCTCCTGCTAAAGATGTCGGCCGTGAGGGTGGCGACCAGCCTGTGCTACTGTGCTGGGGTGGGCGTCAGGCCTGTGCCCTGATTGCGTGGGGCGGAGTGGATGATGGAGACTAGGTGGAAACCACCCACCAGCCTTGGCAACATGGCTGAGAGTGACCACAACCGAGGGGGCAGGGGCAGGAGGCCACCTTTCGCTGGCAGTGCAGCACAAACCCCTACTCAGGACAGCTAGGAAACAGCTGGGGATGCGGGGTCCGGGCTCCAAATGAAGCCCACGACACCCAGGCCAGGGCACCACGTCCTGTCCCCGATACCCACGTCCCTGGCCCGTGGCCCACAGCGCCACCTTCTGAGTCACCCTCCACAGTGGGGGCTTCGTTCTTCCCAGGGGCTGGGGGGGCATCTGCCCCAGGCACGTCTCCATCTACTGAGCTCGCCTTCCTGTCCTGGCTTCTGCACTCCAGGCCGTTCTTTGAGCAGCTCTCTGAAGCATGGGGGACTCCAAACCTGGGGGAGATGCAGAGTCAGATGCCTGGTGGCCCAGGACGGACACCAGTGACGACTCCAGGCTCGGGGTTGAGGGTAAGCACAGAGCGTCCAGAGTGAGGTGCACGAGTCGCTCCAGCCTCAGCTCTGGGCTCCTCAGGGTCACCCGGGGCCTCAGTGCTCCTCCTGCTGTGCTGGGCCCAGAGCTTGCAGGACAGGTGTGCTTGCTCTTTGAGCCAGCGTGACAAACACCAGGGCAGCTGGGCATCCAACGGGCGTTCTGGGAGCTGTACCTCCTCCGTGGAGGCTTCGGCCAGGTGGGTGGGCCCCGTACCTGGCTCTGGCCGTCACCCGGGCGGCACAGCGAGTGTCACTGTCCTCCCAAATGTCCTCATCCTCATCGTCATCAAAGGGCTGGATGCGGTCGCTGCAGCAGGCCTCAAACAGAGCTGCGCTGGGCTGCAGAGCAAACCGTGAGGGTCAGTTTCCAGAGGGTCCGTGGGAGACAGGAGGCCCTATCCCCAGAGGGCTCCCAGAGGGGCTTAGTTCAGGATGTGGGAGCCCCGGGGCTGGAGGGCAGGATGGGAGGGGCAAGAAAGGTGGCTGTTCCCAGGTCCACAGAGGGGCCTCTCCCAGCCCCACTGCGCAGGCCCACGACAGACCCAGCCATGGCACAGCCTGAGCTGCCTGGGAAAAGGCTGAGGTCGTGGCCCCACAGTCCCGCTCGCTCACACTGTCCTCGTCAGCATCGATGTTGAAGTTGATCTCTGCAATCCTGTCAAACGGGGCGCTGCAAGAGCAAGGGGGATGGCCTCAGCGCTCCTCCCGCGGTGCTCATCTGGGGCCCTCAGCACCCTCACACAACTGGAGCACTTGCTGTCTCCTGGGGAATACCAGGCCACACTCCCAGCAAGGCCTCAGGGAGCTGCCTCCATGGGACCCCAGCGGCGAGGAGGGAAGTTGCACCTCATGCAACAGGGGGTGTCCAAGTAGACTCACTTAATGTTGTCATCCTGGTCTGCAAACTCCTCATCATTGAAGCCAAACTGATCCACGAAGTTGGCTGTCATCTGCTGGATCTGG